TGTTGGTAACAAAATAACCAGAGCATCAACAGTCTTAGGATTTTTAACGTCGCGCGAGTCATTAAAGTATATGTAATTCTTCTGGTGGCCACTGATTAAGTAAAGTCACCGTGCATATGGTTTCAAATCATTCAATTTGATTGTCCAATGTGCGCAAAGTTGTTGATAAGCAAAGAATCCGAAGTTAAATTGAAAAATTTAAGGGTGGTATTGACTGCTCTAATTGCATAAAAGGAAAGCAATTAAAATTTATTCCGTACTTACAAGTTCCGTAGACTTTTAAGATAGCTGAACGTTTCTGGAGGCATACGATATAGAAAATTGTTTTGTAGACGTCTAGGAGTAAAATTTATCGGAAAAGTTTAGGGAACAATCTTTTGAATGGTCTGCTTTGACTAAAACTGCAAGTTTTTAAGTGAGTGGGATCAAATTTAGAGAATGAATCACCCATGAAGGCGTTAGTCGTGAAGTTGTCTTTCTATGTATTTTCAGTTCTCAGTTCATTTCCGATGGCTAATCTTGTATCGCAAATTTCGCTCATGACTGGCCGTCGCAGTTTAGTGTTTTCAATCATGCAGTTTTAGCCAAAAGGAGATTTGCGTCGGAGCCGTTTTGATTTTTTTTCATAAAAGAGAAAAATGATCTGTTAATTTGTAGTCTTTTTAGTCTCCTTTTATAAGAAGAACCACCCTGGTTAAATACCTCTTTTATGAAATTTCTTATATTTGTTTACCACACTGGCACGTGTTGCATTCTTAATTATAACTCGGGAAATCATGCATAACGCTGATCTTTTATCTCCTTTTGGATAACCTATTTCTTCGTGTTGCATTGTTTGGCATAACTGCTATCAAGAATCGAGTACCAGCAATCCATTTAGTTTATCGTGTAATACTCACAAGTTTTTCAGGTTTGTAAGCCCAGAAAAAGCGCCTGGTTGGATATTTTCAATCTTGTTGTCATCCAGATACCTTTAAAAAATTTTCAAAGTTTGTAAGAGAACTAAAACACAAGTTAACCATAATTTTATTTTAAAAACATTAATAAAGAGTAAGCTTTCTTCGCCATGTATGAATCAACACTTACAGAGTTTTCAAACTTTTCAGTTTGCTGAAGACGTTGGCAGGTATCTCGACAATTTCGTTGTGAGAAAGAGCACTATGAAAAAAATGATAATTGACACTTATCAAAAACATGTCTTACAATCAAACAAAACTGTACGAAAATAGTAAAACAATGATGATAATGACAGCGATAGTTATAATGATAATGACAATAACAATGATAAGGGTAATGATAATTATATAAGGATAATGATAATAATAACTTTTTATCAGGTTGTCTAACCGCCTGTGAAAATTTTTCATGAAAGGTACAATCATTGGTACTTGAGTGTCGAAACATTAGTCACCACTACCAACACCAGTTCTTTTCTGAAGTAGTGCTCTTACACAGATGATCAGAACACACACTTAAGTGTTAGTCTTAGTTTTAAACCAATTACTGTAATAGTAATAAAAGTAATAGCAATAATAACGATAATAATAATTGTAGTTATTATATAGCTGATCAGTTAATCCAATATTGTCGGCCCAGCTATTATCCTTTAATATCTGAGAACTGTCGAATTAAGGATTAATTTTGGATAGTTTCACTAAGGACTTTAAGTTTAAAATTCACAAGCTGTCCTATTTGAGAAAAAATAGGACAGTTTATCTCAGCCAATCAAATGCAAGCAAATACGACATATGATGGAAATTAGCCAATCAGCGTAAAGTATAGCGTGAGCCCTGTAGACTTCTTGTTGGTTTACAATTGCAGAATTAAGCAAGGAAGATTTGCCCAATTTCTCCATTTCTCTGAATCTTTTCAACTATAGTAACGCAAATGAGAGATTTACTTCGTTGCCAGAAGGGGAGCTTACCAACCTAACAAAACACCTCCAAGGGTACAAAAGCTTAGCTGAACGTGTTTAACGAGTAGGAAGTGCAGCGTGGAGAAGCAAGAAAGTTGGAAGATGTCCCTCGCCATGAGCTGGATGGCAAGAGAGGTACGAATGAAGAGTTACGGAAAGTGAAAGAATGTTTGTCATGCTTTAAGTGAGTTTTTTTGAGTAAGTTTTTTGTTAAATTGTTATCCTATGTTATTATCGAATTTTATTTGGATATTTCAAAATAAAAATAAAAAAATTTCAGTATTTCAGTCTATCTTTTCTCAGGGATAGTAGTTTTCCTGAAAAGGCTGTATTAAAAAAGTGACCAGCTATATAATTGATAAGTAATAGGACTACATGCTGTCCAATCTGGAAATAATTAGATTAAAAAAAATTCTTCTGACAGCCAAATTGGACTTGGCGTTTGGCTCCGTCCAATTTTGGCAGTCCTCAGGATTTTTTTTTTCATCCAATTATTTCCAAATAGGAAAGCACGTAGTCCTATTACGTATACTAATAATTACGGTAATAATTATGAAAATAAAGATAATGATAATGTCCATTGGTTCCGTTTAAAATGCGGATCAAAAATGAGCTATCTACAGGGTTAAAATATTTATAAAGAACAAACCAAACATTTTCGACACTAGGTCATCATCAAGGTGTATTAAAACAAGAATAATGCTAATAGCAAAGTATAAAAAACGAGGAGCTTGATATCTCTTTGGGTTGGGAGGGCTCGACATATTGAGCACCTCTGTGCTTTTTGCTGACGATGAAATAAATTAGATTAATGATAGATTAAAAACATATTATTTGCTAAAAATTATTACGGCAGAAGGTAAACCATCTAGTTATCTACACATCACAGCGAGGGAATCAAAATCTTTAGGACCAAGAGACAAATTCAATTCAGTTTCAACTAATCATTGCCAGTTCGAAGTTAAGGTTCCACAGAAAAGCAATGTTATTGAAAGATTTACATAAACAAGCAAACGCCCTCCCCTTTCAGGGGCTGATAGTTTAGTTTAAAACCGTTTTTCGTGATATGATATGCTACACCTTTGGAGTCTTTCTGCTGTTGAGTTATATCCAGAATTTTGGGAGATGAAAATCGAAACATAAATTTCTCAACGTTAACCGTTGGAGTCCACTTACAGCGTTTCTAGGCTTTGCAACTTGTCGAAGATGGGTTTAGACAGCCTGGAGATTTTGTTGTAGGAGATATCTCTAAAAAGAAGAGACAATTTAGTTAAAAATATTGTCTATGTTTAGGAGCTTTTTCCTTGTTGTTTGTTAAATGCAAAACCTTGTAACTGAACAGTAAAGAAATATGACATTTTTGCCGAGACCCTTTCAAGTCTTGTTTACTTAATTTCTGTTCAAAATTATCGACATGCTAAGTATTATCGTATAAATATCATATAAAACCAAACTGTTCAATTAAGCATCCTATCATTATGACTAGTGCTACAAGGGAGCAGCTCTAACAAGTCAGTCTATTATAAATGAACTACCTGCTGTTGAAGTTTACCATGGCAAGCTTAATCCCTGTAGGAAGGAGAAGGAAACCTTCCATATGACCATTTTATCATATTTAAAGCGTCATGCTTCCCGATCATAATCGCGATGGCTGGAATATTTAAACATTTTCTCTCACGTACATGAAACCGTTATTGAATGTTATTCAGTCACTCCTAGAAATATAGCCTTTCGCTTTAGCTCTTTAAGGGAACATTAATTCATTATTTAAGACAAAATGCGTTGTAGGATCATATATGCCGGTCAAATGCTTAATTACAATCAGGGGTGAAAAATAGAATAAAATGAAGCTTATGAAGTAATATGCTTTTAAAAGTAAATTTTTGATTAGGTTTCTACAAAATGTCTGTCTCTCTTCGAGTACGATTTTAGAATGTTTAAAGTATGGTATGGCACCTAACACAGGAAAAGGCCAGCTTAAAAGAAGAAGAAGAATTTTCCGAACCCTGGCAGTGATCTTTATTGCCTTCAATGGCAACACAATGGCAATGAATCTATCCACAAATATTAACATCAACCATGTAAAATACTGTTCTGGAATAAAAAATTAATTTCTGAGAAGAGTGGCCATGCAATATGGATGCTGAGACATTCTCATAAACATATTTGAAACTCTCTGAAACTTTCTTTCAGCGAAGTAATACTGTATTAAGGCTACAAGAATTTTGTGAGCTTCCGGAAACTTTTAAGATGCCCTATAATTGTATAATATATAGATTTAGGCAAGCCTAAAAGCGGAGCTCGTATTTTTTTTTTCCCGCACGTCTCTTCAACAAACTAAAGCCCCTACAATGGATAAAGTGCGTGGTAATATTAATGGATTTTCATGGGCAACTTCTCCGTGTCCGTGTTGAGGACTGATTATAAGATAGCGCCCGTGGGACAGTTGGCCGCGCATGCTAAAAGTAGCTCCCTGTAAGGTCAGTCGTACGGTCGTACATCCGAATTTTTTCGGCTTGATGGGTTACTACTATTTTGTATAATTATGGGGCTACGCGAGCTCCGCTATAGGGAAACGAGCAGTTGTGCTTCTCGCACGCGCTGATTGGCTGTTTCGAAGGTAATTAGTAAGTACTAATCTCCTCACTCAGAGCAGCATTGGAGACAGAATCTCGCGTCAAGCAGTGAATGTCTGATCATTTTCGGTACAGTGACAGAAATAAAGTAATTTTTTGGTTTCTTTTTGGTAGATACTATTCACCTCAGTGTTCGGCGGTAAAGAAGAACTTTCTGCAACCTTGGGAGCAGACTTTAAGTGTGCACTGTCCATCTCCACTTCTGTAAATAATACTTAATTATTGTGGGCGACCGTGGAAGTTTGCCTACAATCAATACTCTCGGTAGAGATTTTGGGGGAAGCGGTGGTTACTGCGAATTTGCATCAGTGCTAACTGAAGTTCAAGTAAGTTGTGATCTCAAATTAAGTTTATAGAATATTGTATCGTTTAAGAGTTGCTCCATTGTAGCAGTTATCTTACCCAGTTACGATTGAATAAATTACTTGCTTTTATAATTGAAGGGTTTATTTTTTGTCAGTTAAATGGCCCATTTCCAACTTATCCGCATGTGTCAGAGAACTGGTGCTGAAAGTAGCTTCCTCACATAAATCGATCAGTTCTGCTTTTCCTTCTCCTTTATATTACCGACATTACTAAACTGAATGCCTCCCTCTCGCAAATGATTTTCTAAACTCTTCCGAGTTTAATTTCAAGAAATCCTCTCTCAGTGATGTTTTCTCCATCGAAGTATCCATTTTTTCAATTCAAAGGCTTCATACTTTTCTCACCGTCGAGAGCGACTTTGCATTCAGCCTTGTTCTTACGCTTTAATTTTGGCACCAGATCTCTGACATGACCCACGAGAACTCAGAAATGGGCTATTATACTATAAAAATTGTATTTAGCTCCGTTAATGCGACCTGATATCAAGGATATTGAGCAGAGGGTACTTACAAAACTCGCAGCTTCGACAGGTCTTGAAAAATATTCGGTGGAAGTTTACTTAACTCATTGATGGAAATATAGCTATGAAAAATGTAATTATTACTAGTTATCAAGCTCTGAGTTAACCTTAGTTTTACATAGTTTATATTATAGTAAAAACAATCTAACGTTATCTCAAAATACTTTGGAAAGCAACTCAGAAACTGCTCGCGCTTTGGTCGGCAAACATTGTATCTTTAAGTTTACTAGCAAAACTATGGACATGTAACAGAAGCAATATAAATGTCACTCGATTTCCATAGGTTCACTGGTGTAATAATACAATTTGGGTGGTAAGATACAGTCTATGGAGTATTTTGTAAGTCAACCGCTTTTACTCGTGTTTTATGAACATCCATCTTGGGTTAATAGCCCAGAAATGGATAAAAAGTGTTATCTATCGTTTTAGACGGGTGTGAAAAAGTATTAAAGGTAATCACCACTACAATAGTATTTAACCTTCGAAAAATAGCGAGAGTATTTCACTGAGGACAAAGAAATACAGCACAAAAGACGCTGAAAGTAAAAAATTACGTGCAATTGAAAACACTCACTCACTCACTCGGCACAAATTGAATACTCACAGTTTCTCTAGGGAGAATAATTTCTCAAACGTGCCCTCCGCTATCCTACTAATCCGATTCCCTCTTAGGTCCCTAACAAAAGAGCAACACCAAAACAAACTTAATCACGTGCATGCTTGCCGCCTATACTGTTCAAGCTGTAAGGAAATGAAGTCATGTTTATTAGTGAGTTTAAAAGCACTTTTCAGCGGTCTCACGAACACTCTTCTTTTGTTTGATACTAACATACATTGAAAAAATTACAGGCTTCTGATAGGCTTAAAACGATTGCATTCTCATGTAACACGAGTACAAACTTGTAACACGAGTGAAAATTGCAAACAGTGCCCACGGTTTCAAAATTTCGTCTGCCCTGCCCTACTGTGATTTTTTTTTTTTTTTTTTCATGTAAATTATTATCAAGCAATAACGTGATTTCTCTTGCAGTTTGGTGTAATAAGCACTTGAGCATTTTTCAAGTGCCCGGGCTCGTACAATTTTGTTGTCTTCGAAAAACTTACTCGTGCTTGTTAACACCAAAGCGCACTCGAAATCAGGTTATTACCTATACTAACACGAGAACAAAGTTGTAACACGAGTGTAAATAGGCCATTTTACAGTTGTGTACTTGGTTGCCAAGCTTTTGATTTGGAGTGAGGCTGAAGGTGACCTTGTTGTGGTATAGACAAGCACCTGGTTAGCATAACAACAAGGCAATTTACATTTGAAAAGCAGCAAGGTTTGTATCATAACAAGGTCAACCTTAGCTTCACTCCTGATCAAAGGCTTGGCAACCAAGCAGGCAACTGTAAATTGGACTATTACAAATAACGCGCGCGTCGTCAAAATTTTTGTCTGCCTTGACTTTCTGTGATGCTTTTCTTTGGTAAAATAAAAGGATGCTTGATCATTATTGATCGTAATATGATATTTTTTTCAGAAAAACTGAGACCCCAGACGCGACTATTCTTGTCATTCGAGGACTCTTTTTGTCCCAACGGCAAAATAAAATACTGATCATCATCGCCGTCGCTGCCACCATCAACGTCATCATTAGGGTTTTTCTTATCGCTATCATTATCCGTGTTATTTCAATGCCGGATTTATTTACATAAGTCATAATATTGTTAGTTAGACCCCCCCTCCCTATATTGTCAATCACAGAAATCCACAAATTTCAAGTACTTTCTGCTACTGCCCCAGCGACGAATAAAGGCGTGACGAATCTCCTGGGTAATATGTACTTACAGTTCTCGAAGAGACAAAAGCCCAGTAAAGACATTCGGTCGCAGTAAACTTATCCCATTGTCTGTCAGAAAGCTAAAAGATAATGATATGCACTTAGAAATAACGAAAGCTAAATTACTAATAAAGGTTCCAAAAAATCCTTTTGTTATCAAAACCACTATCACGGCAAAAATCGTTCAGAGAATTTCAGACTATCTCAATAGAACAGATCATTGTACGCCAAACACGATGGTGCGAACATATAGACTATGACACTTTCCAAGATACTTACGCGTTAATATCACGAGATATGTCATCAGGGTATGAGGGTGGGTGGTATGTTCTTTCCCAGTGGGGTTGGAATTTTTGATAATGCACTCATGCTAAAGAGGGGGGGGGGAACCTATCATTCGCTTTATAGCTGTGATACTTACAGAAATTCTAAAGATGTCAGATCATTAAAAGTTCCTTCTTCGATATCCAACAAATAATGATAGCTAATTCTCCTGAATTTCAAAAATTCAATCAGACGTTAGCATAACACACACTTAAAGAGTAAAGCAGTGTCACATGGGCTCATGAGATACTATTCATTTTTCTGTACCACAAAAAAACATGATAACAGATTGGTATAATCTAACAACATAGATACTGTCGAGCGGCTGCAAAATGTCATTTTTTTTCTCTGCTTATATAATTACATGACATCGCTCTTTTTTAAAAATTACTGCTATTGCATACATGAATTACATCATTACGGTGATAACAACCAAAAAGATATCAATAACCTTCCTTATTGCATCGCTAGAAGCGCCCGTGGGTAACATGAGGCGAATCCTGTGTTCTGATTGGCTACTCGATCAGGTGAGATGGGCCCATCTTGACTGATCGGGATTTCCCTGCTTTTATCCCGCGCATAGAAAACGTTGCGTAGAGCGGACTTTAAAATTTCGTAATTTTTGGACAGTATTGGTGATGGAGTCGCAAAAGAGGCAGAAGACAGTCCTTTTTTATTCTTAATGAAAGGAAATTTTTTAATATATGGTGAATTTTTTATCGAGCAAACTAGTTCGGTTAAGATAGCTGGATATTACCCTTATTTGTCCTTGTCATGGACCTCGGCTTCGTCTTCATTCATAAAAATGCCTGAAAGAACTCGGCAAACTTGACGTGGCGCTTGGTCAAGAACGCATATTACCATACTGATACTTTGTCCTTCATTTTAACTTATGATAATAATTTACAGATAACGATGCCTTATATAAATTTGAAATTATTCCTTCTTACTGCGATTCATTACTGCCACTGACGCTATTTCAACCTTAAATCGTTGTCGTTGTAATAACCCTTTTAGTTCTTCTACTTACAAGTACTTGAGTTGCTTAAGTCCTCCGAACGCATTTCTCGTCAAATTCCACCGATGAAACTCACCTATAATCCATCTGTGACAATAGATGGAGAAACGCAGGCGTTAAAAGTATATCATAAAATTTACTATCATTAGTTGTTATGGCTATTTTTTTATCCTTTTTTTCAATGAGTAACTAAAATGTAAATAATATGATGGATATCGTATTTGCATTCAATCAGGTTACACTTACGAGTACTGTAGGTCACTTAGGTTTTCAAATGACTTTGGAGAAATATGCCACAAAGATGTATCAGCAAAAAACAACCTGGAATTAAACGGAAAAATGACGATTATGAAAAACATGCAATTGCAAAATACTGTAACATGACACTTGGCCTTCACATCTTGTAGCACACTTAATGATATAACTGAAATAATTATTTCAAACTTACAAATATCTTGTAGCGAGAGGAATGTCCCTCGGAACTGTTCCTTCGTTGGAAGTCCGACATTCGACTCCAAGCCAGAATGGATGTGAATTGAGTTTGTAACAGCTGCAAAAACGAGAACATTCTGGAAAGGAAAAGCAAAAAGGTGGTGAGAGCAACATTTCAGAAGTCATTGCAATCCGCTCGGCGATGTGATAGGGAGATATTACTCGCTTTAATAAGGGGTTTTTTATTCATCGTATTAACTTCGATGATATACAAGGATTTTCGGCTTCGGCCCTGAGAAAAGCCATAACGGCGCGCGTGAAAAAATACGATAGTTTTTCACATGTGTTTGATATCGCCAATCAGCTGCCGACAAGTCATTCGCTTTTCTAAATAAATAAATTTCCTAGAGGGAGAAGAAAACCAAAATACGGAAAGAAAAATTGTGGGTGTTGTGGGTGTGTGTGTTGGG